CTTTCTATACATATATATATATTTAATATAAAGAAACTTTGTTTCTAATAAATAAATGCATCAACACAAAGTATTTGTGTCAACATCCGAATCTATACGTATTTTATNTGCGCATCTGAACTCGTCTATCAAAAAATTGGCGCATGGTATGCAAAAGGTTGGCCACCCCTGTCTTAAAGTTAGGCCAAAAATGTTGATTATTTATTAAAAAGTTTTTGATTGCCTTAATTTAGCTATATTTTCATCTTTTGTTACACATGAATTAGCATTACTTAAAAATATCTTAATTGCTTTTTCTGCAATATAAAAGGAATGTTTTTTTGGATCTAACTGACTTTTAAATATTTCATGTTTAAAATAAAAGTTTATATAAAATTAAACCTAAAAGTAATAGTCAAAAGTCCTAATTTATTTAAAATGTATTAGCATTAGCATATATCAATTATGTTCTGATGGACAGTACAGGCTACTTAATATGTAGAAATATTAGTTACTCTTCTTGAATTTCTTGAAATCTCTATTCTTCTCAATTATTCAATCTCTACTTTCTATGAGAAAGTAGAAATTGAAGAATTGAGAATGTTTGTCATGTTCGATGGGAAATTCTAGTATCTGATAAAGCTTTAAGTACAGTTTAGTGTAAGTTTCAGTACATTCAATCATTTAGTCAAAGTAGTGGTTAAAAACTCACTATTTCAGCAATATCTTTAGGAACATCAGCAATCACCAAATTTAATGTGTATGCCTTATATGGAATAGTGTTTGAGGGTTAAAGTTCCTCACATGTTTGTCCTGCCATCATATTGTTGTCCATGCAAATATTTAATATGTAAATTGAAAAATATCAGAATTTACAAACAATGCATGAGGTCTATTCTACAAAAAAAATGCCCAAGTGTCAAATTGTTCAGACCACTCATAAATTTTGCTAAATATTATTAAAAGTCAGAATATTTATTACAACATATTTAGTGAATATTCACATTTAATAAACACTAATATTAAAATGTAATTTCATTTTAATTTTTCTACTCATTTCAGTGGCCCTTAAAGGAGGTGGTGATCGTACTAATATTAATTTTTCTTCTGAAAATGAAAGTTAAGTCTCTCAACATTTAGATTTCCATATTTTTAATTTATTTCAGTTTCAGAAAAAAATCATGTTTAGTAATACATGTTCTGCATTCATTTTCATTAGTTTGCTTATCTATAATTTCTCAAAAAAATTCTTTTTTATAACTGCATGTTACAAGTATTTGATATATTCAATTATGTATATACCATAATTTCGGGCGGATAACTCACAGATTATCTGGTTTGAAAAGTAATCTGAAAAGGAGTGCAGGTTATATATTGATTTTAAATTCCAATCACAAGTTAAAATTGATTCACAATTGATTCGTGACCACTAGACTGACAATTATCTACACAAGAAATGAACTTATGATGAAATCTTGTTTAAATGGTTATAATATTTTGAAAATATTTCGAACAAAATTAAATAAAATTATAATTTTTGAACTAAATTTAATATTATTAATTAATGTTAGTATAAGATAACGGTCTAATGAAATTGTACATTTTGGCATGAAAACATTTCAGCACAAGTAAAACTTTCTGCATTAATTCACCATTATCATTTCACATTAATGTCACTTAATGTCAATATTATCATAACAGCAATGTGTAACACAATGATACCAACTTGGAAATTCCTCTAAATTTAGGGAGAAACCAGCAGGATGTGGAAAATTTAGGGAAAAATGTAAAGTAGAAAATGATGCAGGAGCTAATGGAGAGAAATGTTTTGGAAATTTCTGTAAGCACGCACAGTTAGTGTTGCCAATATCAAATGCAACTATAGAAAGGACATTCTCCATTTATGGAATTGTAAAAAAAACTGCAAAGCCAAATAGCTCAGAAACTGTTAGAATCAATAATAAGTGTTCATTTTTAATTAGCAACTAATAGGCTTACTTGTGTTACCTTCCAGTCCTGTGATAAAATGTTCAAAACTAATTTTACCACGTAAGATCACAAACAAAATATTTCTGATGCATGATCTTGTATTTAGTGTAATGAGTGAGGCTTGTTTATAAAAGTGTTGGGTCAAGATGAAAATAAAGTTAATGTGTATGTTCAATGAAAATGTGTTTCTCTGGACTGTCAAAAGGCTAATATTTTTCAGATATGCACTTCAACTGGAGCAAAACGATTTAAAGGGAACTTGTTTCAATTTTTATGGAAAACCGTGTTAGATTTAGGGAGAATTTCAGGTCTGTTTAGGGGTTTTCACAACAGAAAACTGGCAATTAGTATTAGCTGGAGACATCGGAATTGGACTTTTGAGCAGAGTGGAGTGAATAAAATTATTTTAGACTCTGGCGACTTCAACCTCAAAGTTTATTATTGGTAATGTGTGAAGTAAGAAAAATACTTTTTAATTAATTAGTATTTAAAGAAATTCATTAAAAAACAGACACTTCAATAAATGTAGATATCAAAATGATATTAACCCATACCATTTCTACACACACAACTGCCATAAATGATCAGAGTTTACAGCAGTTGTGGGTGTATATTTGCTTAATATCAAATTTCGATTGATATGTATATAGCAATCAAAATTTCATAGCAAAACGTTATGTGTATCTTATGTGACATGATCTATACTTTCAAAAAATAGTTTTTTATTAATTTAAGGTCAACCAGTAACCAAGTGAATAAAATCACTGAAACCTTGTAGTTAGTTGTGGAATTGTGCCTAGAAAGTAGAAGCTTGTGGTATTGCTTTGAAGCACCAAGCTTATCTCTACCAAAGTGAAGCTCTCAAGAAAAAATTTTATTTTCAAATTTTTTAGTTACATAATTTTTTCTTGGTGCAATATTTTTTTACATCTCAGATGTTTTACTTTGAATATCAATTGTCTTTTTGACTAATTAATTTTTTCACTTCCCTTCTATTGGTTTTGAATTATTTTGATTATAACTTCGATAACACAATTTAGTCTTAAAATAGTCAATAAAAAAAACAATGAAAAAAGTAAAACCAAGATCAAAATCTAACTGCAACAAACTAAAAGAAGAGGAAACTGAAAAATGTAATTAATAGGATTGTTTCAGCTTATTCACTGGTTTGTTCTTTGGGCTGACAGCACCTGTAATTGATTTTTTTTTCTAAATTTCATATTTTAAAATTGAACTGTATACGTCAGTTTAGTCAACTGTCTCCAGGATATTTGTCTCCACTTAATTTCCTACTGTCATCAGTAGGAAATTAATTATTCACATTGTAGCTGGAGTGGAGAAACTATTTTATAAACCAACTTATTGTGTCATTCATAAAATTATTATTTTTGCATATTATTGTATTTAATGTTTTTTTTGAAAATAATTAAATTTCATAATTAAATAATAAAAGTGGAATTCTTTTGTTACTAAGATATAGTATGTTTCTTTATGTACTTGAAAGTTTTTCCAAAGTAAATTTGTTATATCATTTTTTGATTGTCACCATCACTTTTAGTACAACTTTTTATAGAGAAAATTTACATAAAAATATTCAGATACTCAATGGTATCTTTCTTATAAAAGGAATCATACTGTGATATTTTAAAAAAGGGCAAGGTTGAAGATGAACTTAGAGTCACATATTATAAATTAGCCAAAGTTGGACTTTTTGTTTATTGACTCCACCACACTGTTAGCAACACTGGTGTAAAAATGAGTCATCACAAAACACAATAAAGTAGATTGAACTGAACCCATTAAAATATCAATCAGCATATTTAAATTTTAAAATATTTTGTGACTTTAAAAACTGTGTTAGATAAGCAAATTTATAAATTTGAGAGAACTCCTAATAATCTAATATCGATAAAATACGTTTTTAAAATATTTTAATTTTTTTGAATCATTCACAATTACACTTTACACCATCAATTTGAATGCAGGTGTTAATGAACTAGTCTAAAAATAAAAACAAAACGCGAAAATTTATAAATTAAATTTAAATGGAATTGTTTATCATTTTTCAATTTTCATTCTGTAACAAAATAGTTAATTTTTAATTAAATCTTCTTTCAATTTATTAATATAAAATTCAGAAAATTTATTGAATTTGTAACTTTTTAATAAATTTAAATTTTTGTAACACATTACATTATTTAATCATAAATAACAATAAAAAATAATTGCTTTTTTCTCCTCTTGGAAGCTGTATAGTTTTACAGTTGCAAATTAATAACAGAATAAATTCAGCAATTATAAAAAGTTTCTTTTTCTAATTAACAATTTAACTAGGCTTAATTAAAAAGTTCAGTTTGCAAAGTGTGTCACATGACACACTTTGCAAACTCCTTGTTATATATAGCTCTCACAATAATACTCACAATAAGTAATACTAATGTCAAATGATAACAGTGGAGAAAGTTTAATTAATGGAGAAAGTTTGTTTATGCTAAAACTTACTAGCCCAATTAATAGTCAAACTAATGCCCTAATAACCCTGAAATTAATATAATTATTATAGAATATTTTAGCTTGGTTGTTTATACTGTATATATATATATATTGTCATGAATTATCTGCCCGAAATTACAGTAATATGTATGTATTTAGGTATGTATGTAGCTGTGAACATAACAAACATATATAAACATACAAAAGCACAAAAAACATAGCTACATAAAAATGCATTCAAACATGTAAACAAACTTGTACATATACAGCTCTATAAAAGATTTTGCATTGTTTGAATCAAAAATGGCTACTTTTAAATTGTTCTAAAATTTTTAGATTAGATACATTGAAATGAAAAGGTTAAGTATAATACTTAAGCTAGGAGCAGTAGCAGCTTGTAAAAATTTGAAGTGGTGAACCATTTTATTTCATATTTTCGTCCACCTATGATTCGGACTGATTGAAATAAGCACGTAATAGTGGGAATCCAACTCGCCGTCCGGATATATCGTGCACAACCTGTCGATTTTTTTGTTTTGTTTTTTTTTTTTTTGCTTGTATGATTAATCCGTACTCATATATACCTCCAATATCCAATAGGCCTAAGTCATCTACATTACTTGCGTTACTCCTACCCAAGTCTCCCTAGTCACTAACTATAACTGATTTAGAATCAGCATGCACTGCAAATTATTCTTCATTGCAAAATGACATTGTGCATGCATCAGGAACTTCTGTTTGAACAAACCTCACCTGCCGTCCGGGTCAGCGATTTTAAAAAGGTGGCAACACTAGCACGGAATTTTTCATTACTTATTCTGAGANTTAAGTCAGAGATATAATTTTTTTTAATATATTTTTCTTTAATTTTTTTTTTTGTCATAACTTGTTAACTTTGCTTCACAGAACAAGAACAACTTTGATGATGGATGGAGGGAGGGTTTTGTTGAATGCTTGGATCGAGTTATATCATGTATGGTCACACAAACCAACCAGTCAGAAAACATCTGTTTCTTTTTCTATATTTGTCTCTCACACTGCGATTATGGCTAAAGTAATCGATATAGATCAATGTAAGTGACATTATGGTAAAGATAGGTAAAATTAGAAAAGAAAAATAAATATATCAGTTTTTATTTTTTTAAAGACGTGGTAATTAATCGTAGTAATTATTATGGAAAGGAGTAAATCGAGTAAATATTTTATTATAGATTTTTCTTTCCTTGATAATATTAGCACAAGTTAAGGTTATGGACAACCTTTAATCAGAAAGAAGAGCAGCTGCTTAATTAAACCAATGCTACTGCATCTAACTTGGTAATTGGAGAACTTGCTGAACAGGTTCTAAGTTTATTAATTTAGTTATAACTAAATAATTGACTGTTTTAATCGCTTTAATAATTACCATTAACTTTGAAGTTCGAAATTTTCATTAAACTTAAAACATTTATGCGAGTTTTATTTTAAAAAGTAAGGATTAAGTGTGTTTAATTGATTTTATATTTTAAATATTTTTTAAAACTGAATTAATTATTTAGTTTTTTTTTTAAATTTAAAATATATGCTCTCGATCTTAAATTAGTCGTTTTGTCCCTGTAAATCATACTTTTCCTGTTAACAATTGAATATGCCGGTCATATNCACCTCCAATATCCAATAGGCCTAAGTCATCTACATTACTTGCGTTACTCCTACCCAAGTCTCCCTAGTCACTAACTATAACTGATTTAGAATCAGCATGCACTGCAAATTATTCTTCATTGCAAAATGACATTGTGCATGCATCAGGAACTTCTGTTTGAACAAACCTCACCTGCCGTCCGGGTCAGCGATTTTAAAAAGGTGGCAACACTAGCACGGAATTTTTCATTACTTATTCTGTGACGAAACTGAATTTTAGTCTTTTAAATTGAGATACCTAAATAAGGGGACAACGAAATTTTCCTCCGCCCCGGGCGGCTGACACCCACGCTACGCCACTGAGTGGTGGACTGCAGCAATAATAGTAAAACAAAATCAATACAGACTAAAAAAATTATATCATTAATGAAACTAATATATATACATATATACATACATACATACATATATACATACATACATACATACATAATTTATTTATGATAAATAAATTAACAAAAATTTACGAATGGTAATAATAAAACAGGAACTTTAATATGAGAAACTTTTATTATACAAGCATTAAATTACAAATAAATGTTGCTAGACTGACAAGCGCTTTCAACGATAATTATTTTCATCGAAAAGTGCTTTCTTTTCAGCTTTTCTTTTATCTTCCAGTCAAGCTGTATCGATACAGAACTTAATATTGTTTGCTGTGTGATAAATGAGGTGGGCTACAATAATGCCAAATTTATCTACATCTTAAATAAAGTAAAAAGATTGCTTTTTCCCACTACTACACTGCATCTCCCGAAAGGATCCTCAATAGTCCTTCCCACGATACCGTTTTGTGGTCATGTCACTCTCCATATTTGCCATATCTTTAGGCGACATGCGTTTTTTCTACCAGTTTCCCCACGACCAAATCTTAGGAGGTTGCTGTCCAATGACAGGGGGTCCTACTTCCATTCTTGAAAGATTGGGAGTTTATTCTATCCCATTAGAAAATATGTCGGGTGGGCGTACCCATTATATTGGCACGACAATCAGAATGTTGACTTGTTGTATTTCAGAACATCAGTATTCTATCAGGAAAGGCAAGAATGAAACTGAGCTCGCGAGAACGGGTTACAATACCAACATACCACATAGTGGGACGAGGTGGCCATAATAAAACATTGCAACAACAGAAATATAGTATATGTTTGGGAGGCCCTCCTTACCAACATATTAAATCCCTGCAACACCCCACACTTGATTTACCTCCTTTGTGGATCAATTTGTATAAATATCTAAAACAACTTATCTAGCTTCACAAGTCGGAGGCGCATAGGGCATGTGCATTACAACCGTGCAAGCTTTTATTTAAAAATTGTCTTATGTTCTACTGTTGCTTCCATTCCAAAACGTTAATATACTTGGAGCAGTCAGTTATTTGTAATCAAAAAAGGAATTTAACCATTTTTTTTTAACGACTTGATGAAGACGAAAATAATTATTGTCGAAAGCACTTGTTGGTCTAGTGACATTTATTTGTAATTTAACGCCTGTATGATAAAAATTTCTCATATTAAATGGTCGATGTGCTGTCCACTTTTGTATTATAGGAAACTTTAATTTTATACCAGAAAGAGTGCAGCCCTGCAGCCCTTATGTACAAGCTGCCACTGGCTAGGAGTTAAATTAATATCTCAGCCATTTAACCTTAAATTCGAATACGTATGGAAAAATGACATTGCCTTAATGAAATATTGTCTTGTCTTTCCTTAAATCTTGCTTGAAGGCATATTCCATAATTACCACATGGAGTATGCTTACAAATTACTAAAAACTGAATTAATGTATTTTTACAAATATTAAAAGTAATAAAACTATTACTGTCAACTAATTTGCAGTATTTTATACATCTTTAAGTAGAATTAATATACTATATAAAGATTTAGAAAGTGATCATAATTATGAGACTTATGAAAAGGATGACATCTTAGTATTATTAATTAAAATAACCTTTTTTAAATTAATAATACAATAGTTTAATAAATGTTTGTGCTTTAATTTTTTTGCAATTTATGTATCAATGATCAAATGATAAAGTTGGATTCATTCAACTGCTTATTCTTTAGTCCAAGTTATGTAATAGCTGTATAATTAATTAGCCAAGTTCTAACTCAACAGTTAATCTGACTGTATCATTTGATTATTAGTACAATTCAGGCTTGGTTTTCTATATAAATTTATGTATCATTTAAACTATTTGGCATGTATATAAAAATATACAAATATTCATTAAACTTAAGATAAAAAATATCCAAAAGAACATTTTCATTAAAAATTTTTTTAAAGACTTAAACTCATATAATTTTAACACTGCACAAATTTTCTTTCTACATAAATTGCAATGTTTCTAACTCTTGCAAATTACAAAAATTTTTCAAAGCTTATCTTCAGAAGAAATTTTATTATACAGTAATTATCTTTAAATTTGAATTTATTAATAGAAGAAATGATATGACTAAGATAATTGTAAGAGAGTAATCAAAAACTCAATTACACTATTTACTATTAGATAGATTAATTTTAGATAAATATTAGATAATAGTTATTCCAAACATTCACTTGCATGTATTTTTTACAATAGTTAGTTTGAAATATAAGAAGTCAGTAATCAGACATTTACCAAAACTTTAGCAAGAAAATTTCTAACAAAACATTTTTCAATGAAACTCTTGTATACATTCAGACACTTGTTCCAATGCTCTATAAGCTTCTGAAAACATGCAGCTCAAAGGTTTCTTGATTGCTGTCAGAGTAACTGCAGTATGTGTTTCTGTATCTCTTTACTGCTTGAAAAATGTTTGTGAATCAAGTATTCTTCTAAAGTTCCAAAAGTTGCTAATTGCTTAGTTTTAGATCTGGACTACATGACTATTTTTTCAGATCTCTAAGAACCCTTAAATAAAGAATATTTTTCTAGCAATGAAGAGATTCAGCAACATAACTTTCAGTGACTCCAATAATAAATAAAAAAATTTGTGCAGCATGATTTCAGAAGGTTGTAGAGCATTAGAACAAGTGTTTAAATGTTTAGAGAGATATTTTTTGGAAAATTAATATTCTGTTAGAAATCTTCTTGTTTATATTTTGATAAATGCTTGATTGTAACTTGAATACTGACTTTCCTACATATTATGAAATAAATATACTTGGTTTAATGATTAAAGGTATTTATAATCATTCCAAATTCAAAGTAAAACAATAAATTGTAAAATTATACATAAATAATATATTTAAGAAACAAAATTTATAGTATTTTTTAAGTTTAAGAACTGTTTGATTTTCTAATAAAATGTAAAAGTAATATAATATCAAAAAAAAAATCCTGAAACTTAATATATATTTATATTCATTGTATATAAAAAATTTCCATGTTAGAATTAAGCTAATTAAATTGATTATTGTTTCTTAAATTTAAATTATAGGTAGATATTCTAGTATCTAATAATAAAAATAATAATAATTTACATAAACGTCACAAAACCTGATACATTTGTAAAGCCAAACAACCATTGGATAACATCAGGCTAATTTTCTGTGACTATATTTAATTAATTTCTAAATAATTTGTCACTAGAGGAAGGCATTAGACATTGTCTCTTATTAAATTTATAATTATTAAATAATTTTGAATATTCTGGAAGGAAAGAATTGGACCAGAGCAGGACTCATACTCATAACTCCCACTTATTGTGCAGATGAGTTGCCACTTATGTTATCTAAGCCTCCAGTCCAATCTCCTCTTTCCAATTCTCTTAAATATGATAAAACCATCCTCAGTAACTTATGGTGCCAACTGGGAACACCTTCAGTGCTCAACCTTGTTATGGTATAAAAAATCCATAAAAATCCATGGTATAAATATATATATATATATATATATATACACACACACACACATAAACAAACATACAAAACCCAAATTAATTACTAAATTAATTAAATATAAGTAGCCAAATGTAATCCAATGGTTGTTTGGCTTTAATAATAATTTAATTTATTTACTACTTAATATTAAATAATTTTAACATGTCTAAAAAATTGTAATTAATAAATTTTAATAGTTTAAAAGTTTACAAATAGCAACATGCTTAAAATAATTCAAACTAATTCAAATTCAAGAATAATTAATTTAATCAATCAAATTTTAATACAGAAATTTTTGATATAATAATTAATATTTGGTAAGATGCACATTTTGCATCATTACATTACAGTATATAAAGTACATACAACATATATACTTTATATACATTCATATATATATGAATTTATTTTTAAAATGAATTTAATCGATCTAGCAAATTAATATTTAAAAAAACAAAATTTCCACATTCTTCAGAACAGAATTTTCTAGTGATGTCTTTAATCATATTTTCAGTATTACTAATGTAAAATTTAATTATCAAATAAATGTATTAAAAGAAAGTTAATAATAAAAACTGTGTGTTTAAAAATAAAAGAATTCATTTAAATGATATATCTTACATAGTTTTCAAATAAACAGTCTTTAATCAGTGACAAACGTTCATTGTTATCAAATAGGAATACACAATAAAAGATCAATTATCTACTCATAATTTATACTGATATTAAATTATATAGTGTATATATATAATAATTAATAATAATAATATTTGAAAATTTAAATTAAACAGATTAATGATTAATTTAATACTACAAATTTTGCAGGAAAAATATTACAATTTGGTAAGATAAAAATTATTTCATAATTTACAACTTAAATATTAATTAAACTTTAGTAAATAATTAAATAATCAATGTCTGTGCTTTAAAAAGCTCTTCTGTTTGTTAATAGTAGAAATAAATAATTTAACAAATTATTTATCTTAACTAAATACATACATACACAAATGTGTGCATATACCTACATATGTGTGCACACCTGTATAGTGTGTGAAGACAGGAAGAAAAAAACCCTTTCATAAATAAAAGAAAAATGTTTTTGAAAGATTTATCATTTCATTGTCAGATCCAGTTGGTTTAAAGCATCATTTGAATCAACAACATTCCAAAACAGATATTTTGTTAAGGCACAAGAAGCACATATTTTGTAGTTAAGAGTTATAAATATTTACTGAAAACAGATATAGGTGACTTGTTCTATGCTTATTTAAAACCAATAATAAAAATATAAAAATTTGTTT